AGAGAACTGCATTATACTCCCAGAAAAGCAGCTCAGATAGTCAATGTATGTTGTGCGTTACATAATATATGCATACATTTTAAGTCATATACAGACATGAGCGAAATAAACTCACCAGAGCAGATAAACCAAATGAGTGAGAATACAGATGTTACCTCTTTAACATCGCCCCTGTATTTGGCTGCAGCACAAACCACAAGAAACCGAATTGCGAGCTCCCTTTAAATTTTATGTTACAAAAGCAAAAAACATTTATTTTCATATTTAATTTTTATAAGGATATATATTAATTTCATATTCGTATTCAGTGTTTTACAAAGGGATAAATGAAGTGAGTACCACAATTAAGTTTCGTATACTAAAAATTATTTTTAAAATCCATGGATATACATACATATATGTAAATAAAACGTTATAAGGCAGAACAAATTCAGTTTCTTCTTATTTTCTTAGTATTAAATTAAAATATAAAACAGCATCACAATTCAGTTATTCTTATACTAAAAGGCCTCATAATAAACATAAAAAAGAGTTAATATATGTACATTAAAAAATAAAAACATCACAAATTCAGTTATTCTTATTCTATTTGTACTATGCATTTCCATTTACTTCTCTAATTGGCGAAGCATGAGTTCTTCCATGATCAGATTATGCCTTTTCATTTCGTCAATTTCTTCCCTCTTTAATTTTTCCATTTCTTTAAAATGCTTTTTCTGGACTACCTGCATACTGTCGATCGCTCTATAAATTTTTTTTACGTTTTCTTGCTGTTCTTTGGATTCCGAAACTGCACCCTTGATGGTGTCGCATAGCTCGCGATGAATTGCAACCTCTTCCACGAGAATTTCAGGAGGAGAATGTTTTGTCAACACTTTTTTCGAGGAAGTAGGCTTAACTGCTTTTGAAGATGGCTGGTAAGTAGGCTCCTCTTCGTCAATCAGAAACACACAATCCATTGGGTCCTCATTCATCGCGACACACTCATTCTTCAATACAATTTCATTCACTACACCACTCTCATTCATCAAGAAATCAAGGTTTTCTTCCACTCGTTCAACATTAATCGAAGATGTCAGCCCAAATGTCTTCGCCACACCTTCCACGGATTCCTTCATCCCTATCAACTCGAATATTGCCCTTTCTGTTGCAGAAAACTTGTATTCGATATTAGGGCCTCCTCCAGTTCCCCTACTATGTCTAAGGTTACTGGCTGCTTTGTGTCGCACGTACTTCTTTTGATCAGCCCACACCTGGATTGTAGCAATTTTATTAAACTGACATAGGTAAAATGTATTTATTGATGTACCTTCTTCCATTCGGCAATACATTTTGATGGTGGCCCCGCTGAATTGAGTTCTTTCTCAACTTTGCGCCAAAATCTATTCAGTGGTTCTTTACCGCCTTTGTAAAAACCTCGCGCGATTTCAGCATGGCTTTGCATTAGGTTTACCAGAATTTCTAATTGATGCTTATTTGTACTTTTCGACCTAAAATAAGAATGATTGTAGTACTTTATTACTGTTTTTTATTATAAATTAGTATTTTTTCCATTAAAAAGTAAATAAAATTACATTTTTCCTCAGCGTTCCTTTCAAAATAGTTGGGGAAAAAATACTTTAAAAATGGCAGCAAAATCTCCCTTTTACTTGCATTCGTGATACCTACTTTCCTCTCTAAATTTTTTTTCGCCCTTTTTCGAACATTGTTCAGAATAAGAGGAAAGGGAGAAGAGAAAAATTTCGTAAGGAATTTTTGTTCAGAATAAGAGGATAGAGAGAAGTGAGAAATTTCCTAAGGAATTTGTATTCAGAATCGGGCTGATTATGTATGTTCTCTTATGGTATATTACGTTATGTTGTGCTTTGCTATAGTATGTTACGTTTTGTNCTCCCTTTTACTTGCATTCGTGATACCTACTTTCCTCTCTAAATTTTTTTTCGCCCTTTTTCGAACATTGTTCAGAATAAGAGGAAAGGGAGAAGAGAAAAATTTCGTAAGGAATTTTTGTTCAGAATAAGAGGATAGAGAGAAGTGAGAAATTTCCTAAGGAATTTGTATTCAGAATCGGGCTGATTATGTATGTTCTCTTATGGTATATTACGTTATGTTGTGCTTTGCTATAGTATGTTACGTTTTGTTATGCTCTCCTATGTTATTTAATTTTTTATTACCTTAAACTTTTTTTTTTCACAGAGAGACTATGTTCTCTTATGGTATATTACGTTATGTTGTGCTTTGCTATAGTATGTTACGTTTTGTTATGCTCTCGTATGTTATTTAATTTTTTATTACCTTAACTTTTTTTTTATTTTTTCACAGAGAGACTTCTTAGAGAATATTTAAATTTCGGATTGCAAGCAACTACCCACAACGAGCCAGTAAACTTTGAAAATCATAAGTTTCAAATTTATATTTTTAAGTTTAGCATACGAAAATCCAGTTTAACTTATTCATTTCTCCAACCGCAGCTACTTTTCTGCCATGCGAAATCATCAAGNCAACTACCCACAACGAGCCAGTAAACTTTGAAAATCATAAGTTTCAAATTCATATTTTTAAGTTTAGCATACGAAAATCCAGTTTAACTTATTCATTTCTCCAACCGCAGCTACTTTTCTGCCATGCGAAATCATCAAGCAAGAAAAACTTGTGCCTCTCAACAAGTTGCAATTTAATCTAGCTGAGGATGAGGAAAATTACGAATGTGTGCAAGCGCCAGATGAGATAGTTGTTTTAGACACTACTGCTGCTTCAAGCCGGTCACAAGACAAGCGCCACTATCGAATCCCGAAAATTTAGTTACACATGATGTCAATGTGTTATTCTCGAGCACCTCCATGGATATAAGTAATTTATGCAACTGGCCGTTAGCACCTACAAATAGTCAAAGTCAAAAATCGAATGAATTCAACACACTTCAGAACCGAACGGAATTTAGCAAAAATATGAATCAACAAAGCAAACAAGAGCAGCAGCAAGAAAGGTCACTGTCGCAGGAGCATTGCTTGGAGGAAGTACAAACGCNGTCAAAAATCGAATGAATTCAACACACTTCAGAACCGAACGGAATTTAGCGAAAATATGAATCAACAAAGCAAACAAGAGCAGCAGCAAGAAAGGTCACTGTCGCAGGAGCATTGCTTGGAGGAAGTACAAACGCAGCAACAAGAGCAAGCGCATCAAATTAAACAACAATCTTCACAACAATCTTCACAAAAATTGCAAACAAAGCAACAAGCAGACCGGATACAAGAAGTGCAAATACTATCGGGGCCACAACAAATAATAAATCGATTACCTTTCTTTTATATTTGTTATAATATTGTTAAAATCGCTTAACTTTTTTATAGAAATTTTGCAACTTTTGAAAACGTCTATATATAAGTCGAAAAAACGTAATCAAATTTTGCAAAGTTGTAATGAAACTGATTTTTGTGAACCAGGTTAAATGATTTGCAACTATTAATATATATTAGAAGAAGAGTAAATCGATAACCTTTCTTTTGATTGTAATATTGTTAAAATTGATTAACTATTTTATACAAATTTTGCAATTTTGAAAACATCTATACGCAGAAGTGAAAAAGTCGTCAAACTTTGCAAAGCTGTAACGAAACCGATTTTTTGTGAACCATTACAAATGATTTGCAACTGTTAATATATATTAAAAGAAAGGTAAATCGATTACTTTTCTTTTGATTGTAATATTGTTAAAATCGATTAACTATTTTATAGAAATTTTGCATCTTTTGAAAACAGCTATATGCAAAAGAATAGTAGTAGTAATAATAAGCAATTAAGCAACCACACATGTATGTAAAAATATCTTTGGCGCGTATTCATAGTCCAGCAACTAAGTCGAAACTAACAAAGTTGCAGCTTAAATTTAAGTACCAACTTAAAATGTACCTCTATTCATAGTCAACAAGTGTGAAAATGTATCGATTTTTCTTTACGATATTTTGGAAAAATTACATTTTTATTAAATAATGTCAAGTTTGATCATCCGTTTTTGTAATTTTTATTTTCATTCCATGATTATGCAAAAGAATAAGGTATCAATTTCTTATTAATTGTGTGAAATAGCCAGAACAACCGCAGTGAAGTGAAGTCGATGTTTATCGAAAGCATGCTGTACTGCATGCANTGTTATGCACAAATTTACTTTAAAAGAACTAGCGTGAAACTGACTTATTATTTGAGAATTTCTCTACATTATTCCAATTATAAAATTGTGATGTAGCTTTATTCGAATTGTAATACGCATTTAATTTCATCTTCCGATTAAAATGGATCGATCTTTGTAAATTTTAATTGGAGATTATTCAATATTATCAAATTCACCCTCTACAAACTTAATTTTTACATATTTCGTCTGTTTTCCCTTAATTTGATAAAAAAAATTCTTCCTAGTTACGACTTAGTTGCAGCTGCAGCCGAAACTAAATTTTAAGTTGGTGCTTAACCAAAAAAGTCGCAACTAAGGCGACTATGAATAGCTTTAGTTGTGACTTATGCAGCGTTTTTGCTGCATTTAAAATGCAACATTTAGCACTTTCGAACATATGTTTTCGAAGAGCGTTCATGCTATAGCATTTAGCAAATGTACATTTACGCGAGTTCGAAATCCCATGCTTTTGACAAACAGCCGTGTTCCAGTCTCTTATTTAGATGCGTATATATCATTCTCACGCAGAAGATAATGTGCAAAAAAACTACTGAAAAGGAAAAAATACATTTTAAACCAAAAATTCAATACAAAAACTTGAATTGTTTTAACCATAACCGAACATTTGTTTGTGTATATATTCATTTGTCGGTGATGTCAATTCAAATTTCCTCACTGAATAAAATTTCAGTAGCTGATGAGGCTGGTGAAATTTTTGACAAATGGATAGAAAATTTTGACAATCGCAAAGATTTTTGCTGTGTGTAATTTTTCGTAAAACAAAAGTTTAAATTGATGAAATGCTATCAGTGATGGTAGATGTTTTCTTAAAATATTAATTTCACTTCAATTTGTAATATAAACTAACCGACTAAATCTGCGGTTATCAAAAATTTACTGCTGTCAAAAAAGATTTCATTTCACACAGCAGATTGGCAAAACTGTCTCACCATAGTAAAAATATTATTCAACAGCTTTCCCCATAGAACTTTGTTACCGATTCACACACGCCCTTAATTAGGAAACAAACCAAACAGAGTTGATCATAAATTGATCCAGATTTCTATCAGCATCAATCGATGTTGAATTTGCTTAACTTTTCTTTATCCAAATATGTAATGCAAAATAAAAGAAATCTCGATCGGCGATCACTGAAACGCAGCTAGCAACTGTATACTCGAAAAAGCAATGTTGCCACTTTTTCTCTTTAAACCATGTTCGAATCGTGGAAATTTTGGAAGATCACAGGGTTGCTTTTAGCATTTAGATTCTTAATGCAAAAATGGAGTTGCATTTAGTTGCATTTAGGTGACGAATTTTGTATGGATAAATGTACATTTAGGGCCGGTTACTCAATGTCTGGTTAACACTAACCTCCGTTTAAACATCATTATCGACGTGTTCGACTCCAAGCAAATTACATGGAGTCGGTAACGTCGATAACGATGTTTTACCGGAGATTAGTGTTAACCAGACATTGAGTAACCGGCCCTTAGAGTAGCATCTAGAGCTAAGGGCCGGTTACTCAATGTCTGGTTAACACTAATCTGCGGTTAACATCGTTATCGACGTTACCGACTCCCTGTTATATGCATGGAGTCGAAGACGTCGGTAACGATGTTTAACCGCAGATTAGTGTTAACCAGACATTGAGTAACCGGCCCTAAATGCGCTAAATGTGCTTTTACGCGTAAGCAAAAACAGCCTATTAGAATAGTTTCGACTTAGGGCCGTTTGCACCATGTCTAGTTAATTCTAACTCCCAGTTAAACATCTTTATCGACGTTATCGACACCCATCATATAACATGTGATCGATAAAGCAGTT